TCATGCAGGGTCGCTAGATTTTGGGCTGCTGGTGTAGAAATACAGAAACATTCTAAAACAACTGCATAAACCTATCATATTTTGTTGGGGAGATCTTTTTTATGTGGGTAGCTTTCCATTATGCTTAAACATAAACTCACAGCAGCTGTTTGAGACCACTGGGTTGAATGAATGGTAACAGGAAAGAAAGAAAGAGTACAGTCTAGAAAACTAGTAGTGATAGATAGTGATGATATGAGGGATGACGTTTGCTTATGGTGAATGTCAGTTGTGGTATGTCAAAAATATAGTTTTATATATAAAAACCAGAGTATTGCAGGCAAAACAGCAACCAGGTTAGATCCCCAAGCAATAATGAGGCTGCTCCCCACTTTCTGACCTGGCCCTGAACTGTTTTTCAGAATTAGGTGAGAAGTCTAGTCTCAAGTACCATTGTTTAGTATTGGTCCACATTCTTATGCTAAATTACTGGGTACAGTGTAGAAGAAAACAGTCAAGGGAATTCTCATTGGTTGCACACAAAAAAATCTCTCTTGGATATGTTCCCTGCAGGACTGTCAAACTGATATGTTGAAAAAATGCTCAGGAGATGTTTACATTTCCCATGCAGTTCCCTAAATGTTCTGCTGCATGAAAGCCAGAGTGCAGTCTGCAGTTGTTATCAAGTCGTGTTGTGAAAAGATGCTCAGTGATATTAACACAGATAAATATTCTGAATGTTCTGAGGAAGTTCTAAACCGTTTTTACAGATTACGCATATAGTTCTGAGACAGCATTTTGTTAGAAGTGCTCTTTGGGCAGACTCTCCAAGCATTTTTTTCACTGACAGGGCTGGATCCTATGAATGAAAAGACTTCAGAGAACTGGTCTCTTCCTCTTCTCCTTTTATCCTGCAGCCCCCTCTCCCCACTTTGCTGACAAGCTGGTCCCAAAGATCAAGGAACCTTTGGGGATTTATATAGTGTTGCCAACCTCCAGGTGGGGCCTGGGGATCTCCTGCTATCACAGCTGATCTCCAGACAATAAAGATCAGTTCCCCTTGGGGAAAATGGCTGCTTTGGAGGGGAGACTTTATGGCATTGTACCCTGCTGAGGTCTCTCCCTTCCCCAAGGCATACCCTTCCCAGGATCCATCCCCAAAATCTCCAGGTATTTCCCAATCCAGAGCTGGCAGCCCTTGATAGATAGGATGCAGCTGTGGCAGATGCATCATGAGGGGAAATTGGTAGTAAATCCTTCTCCTTTTGTACAAGACCTTTCACAAATTAACAGGAATATTATGCACAACTATGTTATTTTTTGGGTTTGAGTATATTGAACTCAAAAAGCCCAGTATTTCCTGATATTACCAAATTCCAATATTGCTATGGTACTGAGATTTGGGAAATATTCAGGATTGCTTAATTTTTCCAGCTCCATTATACCCTATGGGGACCATAGGCTGTAATGCAGAATTGAGCTGGGACATCTGGGGCTCGGGGGGGGGAGCTTTTTTTTGAGGTAGAGGCACCTAATTTGCAGTGTAGCTGCTGGTACCTCTCTTCAACAAACAAACAAACAAACCCAAGTTTCAAAAAGATTGGACCAGGAGTCAGATTCTGTGAGCCTCAGAAGAAGGTGCCCCCATCCTCCATTGTTTCTAATAGACTGGGAAAGGGCATTTAAAAGGAGCATGTGCCCTTTAAATGCCTTTTGCAAGCTGTGCTATTAGTGAACTCCAGAGTGGCAAGGTGTAGACATAGAGGCCTATTGTGGGTTGACCTGGCCTCTGCTGGTCTACCTGCAGTTGTCTACTACGGGGGTAGACCTGGCCATTGGAGAACAGTTGGGGTTCACTTGTGGTGCAGCATGGCTTGCAAAAGGCATTTAAAGGGACTGCATTCCTTTAAAATGTCTTTTTTGTTCATTGGAAGCAATGAAGAATGGGGGCACCTTCTTGTGGGGCTCATAGAATTGGACCCCCTGGTCAAATCTTTTTGAAATTTGAGGGGGTTGAGGAGAGGCACCAGCAGTTATGCTGCAGATTTGGTGCCTCTACCTCAAAAAAGAGACCCCCCAGACTTCAGCTCTATTCTCCATTATAGCCTATGGGGATCATTGACTATAATTGTCCCCATAGGGTATAATGGAGAAATCATCACTTGGAGTTCACTTGTAGCACGGCTTGCACAAAGCTGTGCCATGAGTGAACTTGAAGTGGCACATTCACCTGGAAGGTGTTAAAGGGGAAGGCAATCCTTTTAAACACCAGCTATCCGGTGGCCCCCAAAAATCCTAAATATTTTTTTGGGGCGGCTATTTTTGAATAGCTGGATCAGCAGCCCACTGAGTAACTGGCTGAGAAAATGCCTGATAAATACTGATAAGGTATTTATCAGGTATTTTTTTCTGCTCGGTTTATACCAAGTACATACCCCTAATTATAACACTCCTGTTAAGGACTGGGGGTTCAGTTCAACATGACATAAAGCAGAACCTTGGCTTTGATAATTACTGTGTAGAAGATGATGCCTGTTCCCCTGGAGAGACTAGGTCCCATATTATACATAATGTGCCACTTTTGATGGGAAGGTTCTTCTGTAGCTGCTGGCAAGGTCATGTTTTGCTCTTAGCAAAATAAGAAAAAAGAGAACTTTGAAGCATTTTTTTAAACGTTTATTTAGTGCTACTACTTTTCTGACAAGCTTTGCATTATTGTCACCAAATGTAGTGGCAGGACAAGGTATCTAAGATCTAGATATGAATATAGGCTGTAATTCTAGATTTGAAACACTGAAGGATGTTTGTCATCCTCATTTTCAAAAGAAAGTACATATAAATGGTATACTGGGGATTGGAATCAGATTTTTTATATTGTAGCAAGAACAGGATAAGTCCATGGGTAGGTACAAGTCTCTAAGTGTCTTCAAGTAAATTAGCATTCTGAGGAAAAACTTGTCTTAAATAATTTCGGGAAAATGGGTAAAAATATTTAATAGCTTGGAGTTCTATCCCTTTAGCACTATGCAGTCTTTTATATCTCTGCTTTGTGAAAGGAAACAGTCAGAATGCTCCTTACCTGCTTGACCATCTGCTATATTTGACCCATTCCTGATGATATTAAGTAGGCGTTTATACATGTAAGCCCCCTGTGTAAAAATAGGTAATCTATGGGGAGGCTGAAGTTGGTTCCCAGTTTCTTATTTGTGAATCCAACCACAAATATTGAGGATAATTTAAAAGCTCTGCACAAGCACTGCACCCAAAATAAGATTTGGACCCCCACATTCAAGGGACTCTGCTCTGCAAGTAAACTTATGCGGTTTCCTGGTCCAAAGACCAGTTCTTGTGCTAACTGCTCCAAAGTAGGGTGCCCCCAGGACAAATGTACATGAAGACACTAGGGGGAAGCTGCACCCCAAAACAATCTTTGGATCAGCTCAAATCATACATCTTCAGATTCTGAAGACAGTCTCCTAAAAGAATACATGTACTGATATCTGGTCCAAACAGTGGTTCTGGCACCAAGAGCTTATCTTTCAGTTGCCTCCAAGAAGCTTGTGTTGGGAAGACCAGGAAAGAATACATAGGTTCACTTGAAGGAAAGATTTGTCTGAACATGGAGTAGGGAGTGATACATGGTGGTCCAAACTTTATTTTGGGGTGCAGAGGGCATGCAATCTTTCCCCTTTCTTTTTCAAACCGTCTTCCCAAGAGATTTCAGTATTATATGGCATGACATAATAATATATCCCATGATTACAGTGGAAAAGCCATGTGAAATGCATGATTGATGTTGATATAAGGAAGAGAAGGGAGGCTGAGATACTGAAGCACCAACATGGATCTTCACTTCCTCCTTCTAGTGCAATTCTAAATACCAAATTCTTAAAATGATGCACTAATATTCCTAAATGAACTGGATTCTAAGGAAAGTGGTTTGAACCAGAAACTAAGTGGTGGTTTATATTGGGAATGTTATGCAGGAGAAAGGGGATTAACACCTTGCTCAGGCCCTGTTCCAGACTGGTATATTTTCAACTATGAGAAATCATCTCATGGATTTTTTCACCTCTACTTCTATTTAGGCTGTTACGTTTTTTCCCAACATGGTGACACTGGAAAGATATTGTAGTGTATTTTTAATATCAGATGATGTAATATGCTTTTAAATCATTTTTGATACTGAGTTAATTATATAATTATTAACATAGACTTTGTAGTATGTATTTGTACCTTCAGTTGGCTATCCATACCTGGGGCTGGGTTTTCCTCTTTTACACAGAAAATGTTCTACCTGCTAGCTTTGTATGACACATTTAGAATACTGCTGCCATCTACAGGGTAGAAGAGTTATGCCTGGTAAAAGGAAATACTTGAGAGATAAATGTGAGATAAAATGATAAAATGTGAGATGAAATTATCACTGTTCCTCCAGGAGGAAAGTTTTTAATAATATACCTAATTTATTTATCTATATGGAAAACTGAAATATATCATCTAACATTCAGATGGCTGGAAGAAAACTGGCTTTGTTTTACCTTATTTCGCAGACAAGGACAAGACTACATTTCCTTGTGTTTAGAAACTAAAATTAATCAGTAGGGTGCAATGATACCCCTCCCCAATGGAGAAAATCATCTTCTGATACGTAAGATAAGAAAAGCCCTGCTGGATTTGACCAGTGGTTCACTTAGTCCAGCATCCTGTTTTTCCCCACAGTGGCCAATTAGATATGCCAGTAATCCCCCCCCCCCACTCCCCAGCAATGGGTATCAGAGGTACATTGCCTCTGATGCAGAAAGTCTTAGAGGAAGGAAAGGATTATCAACATATGATCTACAGGCTGTGAGACACACCATTCAGCCATGTGCTCTTCTGAATTTTTGCTGGGATTCTCTATGAACAGGTGAAAATCTTATATTGCTTCATAATGGCCACACCTGGTAAGTGATAGTTGGTAGTAAATGCAGGGCAATAGAACTCAATAACTTGATCAATATCTGTTAATTTATTTGCAGATTGTGCAGGCTGTGGAAGAGATATAAAAAATGGACAAGCATTACTAGCCTTGGATAGACAGTGGCATTTGGGATGCTTCAAATGTAAGGCCTGTGCAAAGGTGCTGACTGGAGAATACATCAGCAAGTAAGCCACCATAATTTACTTTTGCTTCTTAAAATATTTACTATTTATTCCTCTTTTAAAATTAGCAATTTCTCTAAAGATACATTATGACAGGATGTGACTGGTGCATACTGAGCCACTAATCTTGGATCTTCATTCATGTGCAGATTATAATTGCAGTAGAACTAGTCCCCTCACCTAGCAAGAGTAACTCTTCCCGTTCACACGAGGGAATTTGGGCCGGCAGCAGGACAGTTTGGGGGCGGTTCAAACGGCCGTGATCACACCACAACATCTGGGAAGCATGGTGCTTCCGTCCCCGAACTGTCCCATCCATGCGATAAGGCGCATCAAGTTGAACCACCTACCGAGGTGGTTCATCTCCTTGGTGTGCCTCAACCCGGAAGTCTGATCGCTGGCGCGTCCTTGCGCCGGCGCATCCCGGGCTCCCAGCCGAACTGCGCATGCTCCGACATGCGCAGTTCGGCTGGCCTGCCGTCAGCTCTGTGTTTACTCCCCGGCGTCTGATCGCGCCGGGGAGAAACGGCGGCGCGGCCGGGGGATCCATGGGATCCCGCCGCGCTGTGTCAACGTTGGCGCGGCTTTTAAAAGCCGCGCCTTCAAGCGCCTTTTCCCATGCCGTATGGCAGGGGCCTAAGAGAAGCATAATATAATCCAGGGAGAGTAAAATCCTTCCTCTGCAGTATTGTGTCCCTTCTCTCCAGATATCTCCCGGCACTGGAGACATTGCACATACAAAAAGATGTTTGCTGGATGCTGAAGAAATTTATATGTGTCTTGTGGATTACTTTCAGAGATGGTGCACCTTACTGTGAAAAGGACTATCAGGTTCTCTTTGGTGTGAAATGTGAAGCATGCCACCAGTTCATTACTGGGAAAGTCCTAGAGGTAAGCAATAATTATTCCTTAGTAGCTGTGATTTTTTTTTTAAGGAGCAGAAAGGTAGCACATGATTTGTTTGGTGGTTAGAAGAAAACACTGAATAACTGGAAAATACCATCCATTGTTTCCTTTTTAAAATTGCATGTTTTCGATAAGACTGCATCTTAATCATTTGGGGCAGGAATCCCAGGAGATTACATTGAGGACATGTAGAGAAAAAGACTAAAACTGAGTTTCAATTAAAATGTATAAGAAGGGTCTAGAGGTTTCTTTGGAAGAGGCCCCTTTCCCACATTCAACTGGCATCCTGGGGACGAGAAGCCAGTGCACCTGGGCTTCCCAGAGCTGACAGAAGCAGCCAGAAAGGAGGAAGGGAGAAGAGGGCACTGAGAGCAGTGACAAGCACAGGAGACAGGCTAGGTAAGCCCAACATAGGCCTGGACAGGGGCAATCAGGGGGAAGCAAGAGAGTCCTAAGTAGGAGTCAGGAAGGAAGCCAGGAAGAGGACAGAGACAGGCTATGCTGACTTTTTCCTGGAACAGTGCAGGCCAGCAGGTGGGCCTTTTAAAGCCTCGGGCCAACTGAGGCTGCAGGGGGCAGAGGAATACCAAGAAAGGCCATTGGCCCAGGATGATAGGATGAGCAAGATCCCCATCCCCCTGGGCAGAGGACTGGAAGACTCCAGGGTGGGTCTGCCCCGGATTACTCTTTTTTAGGCACACCCCCAAGGTGGCCAAGGAGGACGGGCCAGACCACACCCAGCTGCACGGGGAAGAGGAATAACAAGAAAGGCCATTGGCCCAGGAGGATAGGATGAGCCAGCTCCCATCCCTCTGGGAAGAGCATCGGGGTGAGTCTGCCCCCAGATGAACCTTTGTTAGGCACACCCCAAGTTGGCCAAGGAAAGGCTGGGCCAAGGGCTGGAGAAAGAGGGCTAAGGGTGTTGTGGATCCCCCCCTTCCTCTCCTTATATGAGGCTTCCATTTGGTGTGCTGGAGAAAAGGGGATGCTCAAGGGCGTGCCCAGCCTGGACTCCAACTTCTGAGTCTGACAACTACATCCTCCCATATGAACCTGCTCACAAGTTAAGTTCCTCCTTGGAGGCCATGCATCATGTGGTCTCACTGTCTAATGTGTGGTAGGTGGCTGTACATGACAGGGCTTCCTTGGTGGCGATTCTGAAACTGTGTAACTCCTTCTCTAGGAAAAATCCTCCTTGATCTTTTCAAGCCTGTTTTTTGACAACAGGCCCAGCTGGTTTTGAAGGGATTTTATTGCTTTTTATCTAGCATTGATAGCTTGGAGTTACATTTGTTGATTAGCTGGGACTCTATTGTTAGTACTTTTGTTCTCGCATTTTACTTTGTGGCTTACATTTGTATGCTGGTTAATGTTTGATTTTTAGAGTTTTTATCAGAAGGTGGGATATACATATTTTAATAAATAAAAGAATCTGCCAGAGTTTCAGGGCCCCTTCCCAGGTCTGAAAAAGGTAACAAACTTTTTGTTAGATATGGAATCTGTTTTGTATCTTAACTGCTTGGCATCATTTTCAGTATTGTTTACTATTCTTTTTACAAAGAATGATATATTTATTTTGTTTATTTATTTAAAGCATTTATTAGCCACCTCTCTACTTTGCAGAACTCAAGGAGGCCTACAACGTAAATAAATGTAAATGTGAAATGAATTGATCAATGGGGGTCAGTGCCACCATGTCTAAGGGGGATTATAAATTTATTCATTCCAGCTGAAGTGGCATTTGATCTGGTACATCTGTGAAGAAGATGGCAGAGCTAGCAGCCATTTAAATTTGAGGATAGAGGAAGTACTTATAGTCAGGAGAGTATACTTAGGAAAATGTGTTGTAGGCTGAGCTGTATACAGATGGGCTGTTGGAGTTAGGCAGAGTTATGCCCTTCTAATTCCATTGAAATCACAAAACTTAGATGTTTGGATGGCACTAGTAGGAGTAAATAAGCAATATCCACTAGAATATATGAATAAATAGGCCCCGGTCACACTGGGGGAAATAGGTGCGGCCAAAGTGCGGCTTTTTTGAGCCGCACCAAAAGAGACGCGCGGCGGCAGGATCAGAAAGATCCCCCCAGCCACCGCGCAGATCCTCCCCGGCACGATCAGATGCCGGGAGGAAGCCACGGACCAGAGAGCGAGGCCAGCCCGCTGCGCATGCGTGTGCATGTGCAGTTCGGCAGGACCTCACATGCTGCAAAAGAGACGGGCGCGCCAGCGATCAGACGCCCATCCCTGCAGCGGATTTTCAGGTAGGTAGTAGTGTTTTCTAGGGGTTTGTTTTGATGCGCAGTTTTGCCCGGAAGGGACAGATCGGGGACGGGTGCACGCTGCTTCCCAGACGTTGCGGTGTGATCGCGCCCACTTGATGCGCCCCCGATCCGTCCCTCTCGCGTGGCAAATCCTTCCGTGTGACCAGGGCCATAGAAGAGCAAAGGTGCTACCATGTGTTATTTTCTGGAGCCCAAACAGTAAATTGTTCAGTATCTCCTTACTGTGAGAGTTTTTTGTTGGGAGTAACTTTTTGAATGCTTTATAAACATTTTTTTAAAATTGTATGCTCTTTAAATCTTTGTACATAAGAACATAAGAGACGCCAATGTTGGATCAGGCCAAAGGCCCATCCAGTCCAACACTCTGTCACACAGTGGCCAAAAATACCAGGTGCCATCAGGAGGTCCACCAGTGGGGTCAGGACATTAGAAGCCCTCCCACTGTTGGCCCCCCCAAGCACCAAGACGGCTTGCCCCAGAGCCCCTATCTATACCTTGTGGCTAATAGCCACTGATGGACCTCTGCTCCATATGCTTATCTAATTCCCTTTTGAAGCCGTCCATGCTTGTAGCCTCCACCACCTCCTGTGGCAGTGAATTCCATGTGTGAATCACTCTTTGGGTGAAGAAGTACTTCCTTTTATCCGTTCGAACCCGACCATGGAGTGCCCATGAGTTCTTGTATTGTGAGAAAGGGAGAAAAGTACCTCTTTCTCTACCTGTTCTATCCCATGCATAATCTTGTAAACCTCAATCATGTCACCCCTCAGTCGTCTTTTCTCCAAGCTAAAGAGCCCTAAGCGCTTTAACCTTTCCTCATAGGTTATCATTCGAGTTGCCCTTTTGTGCACTTTTTCCAAAGCTATAATATCCTTTTAAAGGTGTGGTGACCAGAACTGCACACAGTATTCCAAATGAGGTTTCACCATTGATTTATATAGGGGCATTATGATATTGGCTGATCTGTTTTCAATACCCTTCCTAATAATCCCCAGCATAGCATTGGCCTTCTTTATTGCAGTCACACACTGTCTCGACATTCCTATAATCTTTAATGAAGATATTTTAAATAGTATAAGACCTGTAGCATCCTGGCATAAACACACAAGGGGGCAGCACTAGTCCTCTAGAAAGAGAATCTGAATTCTCTAGATTGAAGTTGTGCAGCTATCTTGCTGCATTCTCACTTTCCTTATTTATTCAATAGAATATTTATTTAATTACATTTTTATACCACATCCTCTCCTGTGCAGTCTTAGAGCAGTTTACAGTAAAACATTTGACAGTAAAATACATCTAAACATTAAAATAGCACTGGCTAAAAATATAATTCATAAGATGTCAGTAATATAAGAAAAAATTCCTAAGAAATAACCAATTCAACAATTACCATGTATAGCCAATGGACAATTCTGCAAAATTTAACCAAAGGGTTGATGAAACAGAGTGGTCTTACACACTCTGCGGAACACAAGAAGATCCTGCAGAGTGCGGGCCTCCTCAGGAAGTCGGTTCCAAAAGGAAGGAGCAACAACTGAGAAGGCCCTGGTGGAAGAAAAATGGGCAATCTGTGGAAGATATATGGGCAATATATACTTTTCACTGTGTTGGGGACTGCATGACTAATGGGGAACTCTGAGTGTTACGAAGTAAAATGTTGCCCAATGGAATGTACACATGGTTTACCATGGGGAGATGTGTTTCAATCTGTTAAGAATATCTATATATCTAATAGCCAACTTGCCCCCTCCGTGCGGATACTTAAATCAGCACGGAGGGGGCAGCTGGGGGGCCGGGGGAGGTTTGTGCACACGTGGGCCAGTCCCCACGTGTGCACAAAAATAAAAAAAGTTTAAAAAAATTTCGGGGGGATGTTTAAATCCCCCCGAAAGTGCAAGAGCGTCTCCTGCGCATGCGCAGGAGACGCTCTGCACCGCCGCCGCCGCTGCCGCCGC